TAAAAAAGTGGGCAGCACATTGGTGAGGCATTCGTTAAATCAGAAAAAATACTAAGAACTCATCAATAAGCACTTGATTAGGTTTTTCGTTTGTCCAAGTTTGAAGTAGTTCTTCTCTAGAAAATTTTCTGAAGTATTGCACTAATAAAGTAGTTTTTCTGGACGGTCGTCTTTTGACGTCATGAGTGTAAATTAGCTTCGTCAAAATGAATAGAATTGGGTATGGAACACGCGCAGATGACCACCTGAAGTATTCCCTTAAGTGTGGTGAGGAAATAGTGCGTGCTGACGCGCAGAAATGCTGTGAAATCATATGTTGAGGGGTAGTCCTAAACAGAATGTTGTCGATAAGGTCAAAGATCTGTATGCCACTCGAGTTTTTTTACGACCTCGATTACCCCTTCCTAGTAACCTGTTTCATGACCTCACAATTTAACCTTTCCGCAGGCAGGAAATGGTATTTAACGTCTTCGATTTACGATTTGGTTACCTCTATGCTGTAGCGACAAGGAATTACGGTCATTGTCAAATTGTTGTCTGCTAGAACCATAGTCTTCCTCATTACTTCCTGACATTCTTGTAACACATAACAATCCTATTTAGAATGATTCTTGAAGTTTGTGCTCCATTTCAACAGGACGGGAAAAATTACCGAAATTATGAGGAAGACCCAAAGAATCGCATTCAGTCAAGAGTCAGAAATCATTACTACAATCAACATAGGCTGCAAACCGTGGAATTCGTGGACAAAATGGTAAGGTTAAAGGTATTGGTTTTGAAAAGTTTGAATAATAATTTTAATCTAGCACAAGAAATGGCTGTCCTTCAACCACGACAGAATGCCTATTTTGGAGGCACTGGAGGTGCTTGCAGATTTCCTTGATGAAAGCGACCCAGATGTGAGCTTTAAAGTCGTCAGAAATACAAATTGGTAAAGTCTACATTAGCTTATGCTGATCTTAGGTTGATGAAGCAAATCTTATTCATGCCTATCAAACCGCCGAACAGCTACGCAAGGCACACCCAAATAAACCGTGGATGCATCTTGTTGGACTTGTGCATGATTTAGGGAAGGTGATGAGCGTCTGGGGAGAAGAGCAATGGGCTGTGACAGGTGAGCCAACAATTTATAACTCATGCAACGTTTGTAAAAGATGAGCTAATTTTATAGGATGAGCTAGAGTGCAAGAAATAAACCATTTTTTCAGCATCTTTCTACAGCCAGCTCATTTTTGTTTAAAATTGTTTTGTTCTTTCTCATGCCTATAAGGATTACGGTAAAAGTAATAAGCAAACACAATTCGAGTCTAAGTGTATTTCAACTCTTACATACATAATATAAATATATTCCCATATGTTGTTTGGTTTCACACAAATACTTTACTTATATCATAGAGCATGCCTTATTTGTCATATGGCTGGAGGTGGTTGAAGTGCATATTTTGAACAGGGAGCTAGATCGAAATGCGCCCCTTATGATTATGAATGAAAATGCTTAGGTGATACGTATCCTGTTGGTTGTGCACCGTCGGACACAATTGTATACGGTGAAGGGAGTTTCGAAGGCAACCCAGACATGCTGAATCCTAAGTACAAGTAAGTTAGCACTTTTCCTTTGGCTGACCATCAGGAACATAGTATTGCAGAACCAAGTTGGGAATGTACAATGCTAATTGTGGTCTGGAGAACCTGAAAATGTGTTGGAGTCATGACGAATATATGTACCAGGTACTTTGTGTCTTATTGACATAAGTTCGATACTTCGGAGACAAGGCATGATTTTTTACTGAAGCGCTATGCAAAAAGTGATGGTGGTTTTTTAAATACTATAATAGAAATAAGATAACTTTCTTGGTATTGAATGGTAAAAGTAACAGTCAGTAGAAAATTGTTTTCTTTCAAACAGTAATCAACAAAAAATGTAGCAAATACTATAACCTTTCTTCAAACATTC